CTGCCAAAGTTTCCCCGTGCATTGGGCAAATTTTGGCTGGTTATCGGAACTAACTGAAACTAACACAATGCACTATACTTGTACAAACAAAACCATGATATTCGCACTGCAAAATCTGTAGTGTTTTATTACCAAACCCGGTCTCCATGTAGAACAAACACGGCACTCGTGATGTCCTACCTGGAAAAAGAGGGTGTTAAATTCACACCGCAGTTTTGGCATAGCATTGAAAGAATTTGCTTTCAGCGCTCCCTTGAGAACAAGGTGTGCACCCTAGGTAACTCTGCTTCGTTAGAAATTTCACCCTAGTTACACGAATGGCAGGGGGTTTCCCCGAGTTGGGTAGTACGTAACCCCCCCCCCATTTATGGTATTGCAAATCAAATAAAGTGAAATGCCGTTAAGATTCGTGGACTATGTAGCGGAGGCTGGCCTCCTGCTCAAGCAGTCCCCGTTTGCTTGGCAGTCGGGCCTGCATCCCCTACGGCTTCCCCATAGCCTTATTGATTTTGACACCTTTGCTTATCGACAGACGTACCCGTCGTATATAGGTCGGAGCGTAAGGACAACTTAGGCGGGCTGACTTTTAACCTTTCTTGCTTGGAACCAAACCCTCGTTCCAAAGATAACAAATACCTGGCAAATAAACACAAAAATCCAAAAAGGTCTGGACGTTGCTTGACGTGAAGAGACAAATGTAACAATCTCCCATGCTAATTCTTTATGTTGTTTATCTTTCAGTTTAAGAAAAAAATGGTTTGTGCACACTAAAATGTGACTGGCTATTACGAAAAGAATCTGTTTGAGACTATTTCCCACTCAGCAGGCCTTAAAATTTATGTGCATTACATAAAGAAAATAATGTCGTATAAAAAAATGTAAATTTTTTAAAGTTGAATTTGCTCAAAAGAAATAAAATTTTTTCATTATCCAAAACTTGGACGACCAGAATTGCTAAGAATTTATGCTTCAACAGAAATGCAAGTCTTTTCTTCCCCATTTTCCAAAAAACCCGGATGTTACAAACACTAAAATACAAATTCAAGTAATTAAATATCGAGTCAACGAGATCAACCTCTGTACTAGTTTCACGAACTTCCGGTTCTGTCTCAACTACAACCAGAATTGAATTCTTCAACCCATCTACGTCTCTTCACCGAGCAGATGCACGGTGGCACAGACAGAGCATGTCACATATCATTCATAACTTGGTTTTTCAAACTAGACAAATGACGGATTAAGGTTATTAGCTGCCGTTTCTTTATAGAAGCTGCAGTTTCTCAGTAGAGGCACTTTCTCCGCGAGAGGAGTTCACGGACACTGTTTCTAGTCCGTAAGCGGGCGTCAGTTTACTGACCGGAATTATCAGGTTTATGATGACCGTCATCTAATACATGATGAGCGGAAATAGCCGGCCATCATATCGATTTTTCGCGGTCACTGTCCTACCATTATAATATCTCTTTGTATTCATCTCAACTTCACATTCCACTAGTCTTGCTCAGAAGAAAAATGGTCTGCAATAGTCAAGTGTTCATTGCAGTAACTCCGAGTTTGTGGATCAATGGCCCTTTTTAGAATCACTCTTTGGCAAAGACCGAACCACATTTAGGTTGCCATTCGTCGCTCACGTGCACTAAAACGTGCTCTGCAATGTTATCTGCTGAAGTCAGCGATCGTTCGCAATTTTGTCCGATGAAAAATGTCTCCATTATTAATAGTGACCACCCATCGCGCAACATGAGTATAATTTACCGTCCTTTTTTTCTGCTGATGTAGCATTCATAAACAAAGAACTCCAAATTACCTGATCCCAGATTTTCAATCAGTTATTCCCTTCTCTGTATTCAAGCTCCTTTGTCCATCAAATTTAATTACGCAGGCCCAGGGAGCGCGAGCATTCTGTCGAGTAATAAACTGGAGCATTCTAAATGAGGTTAGTGACATATCATATGTGCGCTATTCAATAAATGGTATAGTCGCCATACTACATGTTGAATCCAAGGCCACGAGGCCTACGGCGCACAGTCCAGATCACAACTATAATCAGTTCAGTTAGGCTGACAAACCATCAAACGGTATAATGATGTCGTCCCTTTTCAAATGTAGGAAATATTAATCATAACGATGCGCTTGTCTCCACGTAACATTTAGCCTTCTGTTTTTCAACCACGTGTTGAATATCAAACTCAAAGAAAACCACAGGACAACACCAAACGGTGAAATTAAGTGTTCCTCCAAAGCAGGCAACTTTATACTCTGCCCCGAAATTGAATAAATCACAAGGATACGTGGACGGGATGATGTCATTGTTGGGTTCCAGAAAAGAGGTGCAAAATTAATCCAAGGGAGTTAAAATTCCGTCAGCAGGGTTGCGACAACTTAGGGCTTATAAACCAAAGTTTTCTCTCTGAAGGCCGGCGACAATAGACTTTTGTGGGCATAACGTGACCACACAGTACCGCATGGATCGATGCCCGCTACATTGTCCCGGACGATGCTTGCACGTTCACATCAGACACAATGCTGAGGGTGAACACCGTTACGTGCTCCTATGCCTTGAATGCTTACGGACTGGAGTGAAGACGGGCACGGAAGAAGCCTCCGAATAGGAATCAAACCGTGCCAACGCGCTCCCGGCGACGATAAATTTGGAAGATAGTGCCAAAACTGTAAACAGTAGGCCCGATAAGTTTGGTAGTAAATAAATCTGGGCAAAGTTCGCGGCATCAAAATATTGTTCACTCGTGTTGTTTCCTGAAACATCCGCCACTCGTGTTGTAATTGTATATTTGCCCACAGGCTGGGGAACTAAAGTTATGCCTTACCTATATGCCGAACGTTGGTTTAAGCATGCATTTTCTTGCTTTTACAATAAATACACTCGATTCCTGTCATGCAGATGTTTAATTCATGTTATGTATAATGTAAGAGACGATGTCGAATAAATGTCTAGAAGTCTTTAAAAGATCTCAGTTTGCTATACAGCGGAATACAAGAACTGAGAGAGGTATAATTATTTTTCCTATAACAGGCCTATTTCGAGTGGAGAAATACTCATCAGCATACTGAAAACTGTAGCAATTCATTAACACCGAAAAATGGAAACAGAAATCGTCTTGATCACATGCAGCACAATATATCAATTTTTTACTTCTGACAATATTGTCTGTCTTGTCAGGATTTGGTCTATCACTGGCATCTCCGGATAGGTTAAGGCCGCTCCCCGACACTTCAACGTGGCCACATCACTATTCAGTTCTTGGTGCGCGCCAGGCAAAATTAAAATTTCCAAACGCTTGTATACAAACATTTGTAGTGGGGAGAAAAGGACCATCGTGCTCTCTCTGTAAAAATAACTTTAAGGAACAGAAGATTTGTATGTGCATATCCATAGCAAGAGACCAAACAATAAAAAAGATATGTATGATCGAGGTGTCATGAAATATTAACTTGCTCCAGATACGATAAAATTACGAACAACTGTATCTACAGGTAATGGGGTGAAGGTTGCACGGTGGGCCTACATGAATAAACTTACTTGGGTACGCGGTTTGGGTTCAAAGCGGCAAAATGCCGAATGATGAAACCATGGCTATCTCGGAAAAAAAACAGCCCGATTTCAAAGAAAATGACATATTTGAAATACATTGAAATAAATTTTGCGTGACAAAGTCAGATGTGGCAATTTGGTTTACGTTCTCATTAACTTTTGAGTCAAGTATCGTAAGCCACAGGACGCTCCCGCTGTCCTCCTATTCCAATTACAAGAGAATGGTCCCATTCTTTAATGGAAGGAAACCATAGATTATCTAGAAAATTGTAAATAGGCCTAGTAGTTTCGCATCGAGTAGACCATGAACAAATAATTTGGTAAGGCATACAAAAGTGACGTTCATCACTGTTTTCACGAGAATTTACCGGCAGTACTGCTGTTCAATATACTTGTGCAGGAAAGAGTCGAAACGCTAGAACAAATTCCACTTTCATTTTCACTCCCACATTTGTCTTTATTCCAACGCGTCGTTGGCACAGCTCTTGCCCATGGCGTTATATAAACACAACGAGAGGACGGAAAACAAAGAAGAGTGGCGAAGGAAGACAATTCGAGTGACGTTATTTCGCATTGCAAAATGGACGAGGGGAAAACCAGGGAATTGGGAAGTGTATGAAATAAATCAACTCACAGCAGACTGGACAAATATACCAACATTGTACACGTATCATCAGTTGACATTTGGACTGAATACAAATGGGGGGAAACGGCTCTAACAAAACTGTTTCTCCCAAAAGGAATCATTCATTTTATCAACGCCGTGAGAGAAATAACACCACAATGCTAAGCTGATCGAAAGTTGTTGATGGAATGTAGCATTGATGGCAATGTCGGCACAGTCTTTACCCCCCATTACTGCATTGTTATCCCCATCAAAATGACAAATTTCAGTTGTCGCCGTGTCGCGATATTGGCCTACTACATGCTAATCTGAATTATGCACAAACACGCATGTAAATAAAAAAATAACATTTACTGTGGTGGGCAGTAGCAACGAATCCCACGAGAGCGATCGAATCATTTTTGAAGCATTTGTTCTTCTGACATTTTTACAACCCTTTCAAATTCAGTGTAATAAAATTGATGTGTTTTCCACCAGCACTGGGTGCAAGCGACTTAGGTAAGGTGAAATTCAAGACCTTCGGGATTTCTGTGCCAAGTACCGAAATGGCACATAGGCATGACACGTAGACATTATAATGGTGCGGTAAGAATGTGCGCACTCTTCTTACGCGCAGGGAGAGATTTTCTCAAGGTGCGCCATCACAAAGCAAATATTTCCAGTGCACATGCATACTCTGCAATGTTTGAGCCAGCTCTGGTCAAATGGGGCTGCGATAAACCAATACGAATAATATGCATTACACGTGTCGTGCGTCATGTGCGTACAGTAATGTATTGTGATGGTTGCTGACAAGGGGAAAACTACAGTAGGCCTACTTACAATCTTGTGAAGAGTTGCTCCGGCGCGAGTATGTGACTCGGGAACTCAGTCATGTTGCTCTCCCTAGTGCATTCGATGGTGAGCGTGGAATAACACTGGCAGGGGGGCGGACAGGCGCTAGTGTCCATGGGGGTCGCTAAAGCAACCCCTCCCCCAGTGCCCGACTTGTGGAAGATAACAACAAAATGGAAGCAAAGAAACCAAAACCTCATCTTGTGGCTGTTCTGGCGATGAGGATGCACGGCCAACGACGACATACTCCTCCGCACGGCACCTCACCACCCGTCTCCTGTGCGTTTTGTGTCTGCTCCGGACAATCCCGAGCGCTGCACCGTTCGTGGCTTAATTCCTCGTGCGAGGTCGACGCTAACCGTCAAGAATTTCGGATGAAATTCCCCCCATGCTCTGCACTTCCTGGTAATTCTTGCCAGTCGTGTATGGTTTACATCCTTTTTGCTAAGCGGAGAGCTTGGAAGGTGTCTGCAGTCTTCCTGTTCACGACAACGAGAGAACAGCGACAGCTTGGTTAGTGCATGGTTAGCGCGATGGGGAGGACGCACAAATAATGGTTCGACCGGCACCTAATTTCCCTTGTGAGTTAGCGAGCGCAGCACATTTCACACTCCTAGTCCTAGGCCTACTGCCGCGGCAAAACACGGTCCGACCGGCACGCGACCTTGGTGCGGTTGCATATTAACTAGAGTCCAGAATATGCATAGGGCGGTTCAGCCCGGCCGGCCAGCGGGTCATGGCTTTTTACTGCTGTTGGCTCTCGCCTGTGCCGAAGTCGAAGAGCGTTTGAATTCCCGTCCAGAGATGTTCGGAATGAAAGTGGCGCAAATAGCCAAAAACCGCCTGTTAAGAAGACTAACCGGTGCGACACATGTCGGTACGTACTGCAACTCTTGTGCGCGTGTACTGTATGTGCGCCGACCATGAACGAAGAGCCGTATACTGCCGTCTCCTCACTGCTTCCGATGACAAAGCCCCCACTCTCTCAGATGCTCGCGCTGTGCTCTATGGCCAGTGCTTACAGTGGTTTATTTACTGCGCAGACGTTGTGCTCTCTGACTCACGTTCTTCATTACCATAATGATCGTCGTTCCCATCATCTGAAGGTTTTCGCCTTAGTCGGAATGAACGGAGCCGTTGCAGCTCATGTAAACGATTCATCCCGTTCATATAAACTAGTACACGTAATCTTTTCCTGCCGTCACAATCTTTTTCATTATGTAAGGATGTTTTGAGCTCGCTTGTGCCGTCCACTGTATTATTTCTCTCCAGACTCCGGATTTTTCTTTAACTACAAAAAATGCCAATGGTGGATAGCAGTGGTTTACGTATTGGTGCAGGTGCTGGCAAATCACGAGTGGATAGTCTATCTAGATACACGCCCCGTGGGACTACAGCTGAATAGCATTCAGAAGCACTTTGTTGTGTTCAAATACTATGACAAACAAAAAAAGAAGGTATTTTCACCATTGTTTCGCATCAAAGCTACAGACCCGGTCCACATGTCAACCAGCCGAACAAAAGCGCATTGTAATGCAATCGTCCATCTTATCCTCCAGTTCCTCGATCAGATTGCCGGCGGATGACCTAGCGTCGGTGTACCGATGAATAAGGCTAACACGTTAGGACCGGATATCCGTCAACTTCACCAATAGACAAGAGATTGGGCCATGCAAAATTTATTAATCATTTTCATAACCTTCGGATTTACCGAAGACGCGAAGGCGAGCAAATATAATCCGCTTTCACCCGCTGGAAATCCGCGTCATTGTGGTTTCTCGTCCTTTATTTTCTTTTTCCAACTCTCTATGAAAGACCCACAGAAGTCGGTCGCAACCTAAATGGAGACATTCTCCACTCCAAACTCCCCGTATTAAGACCCTTTTACCGTTTGGTTTCATGGCAGGCTGACAATCTTGAATGTTTGCAACTTTAGATGAAGATGGAAGTAAGATGGTGAAGCCTCTTCCATCCCACGGAGAATCACACTATACTTTTCCTTGGAATATAGCTTGGGATTTGCTACAACCAAGTTGTTTCGAAAAGCGTTCACTTCATTCTATGTCTAGGCGCAGCATGATAAAACAGCCTCTTTTGGCAGGTGGACTGGCGTGTTCTTTATTAATGTTTTTAAAAACAATTTTCGGCAGTCCAGGGGTGCTAAACCCGTAACCCCCAGTATAACCAATTGTAAATGCAAATAAACGAAAACCTACCTTTTTTTTCTAGGTTACAGATGTCTAGATTTTTTTTCATTTTAGTAAGTTACATGTACATGTTTAACAGCTATCCAGGTCTTGTGAATTACTGATACATTTTATAACGACATGCATGTTGACGGCTATTCCAACCACAAGTAAAGCCACTAAGCAGTTAGTGCTGTTTTGCACAACAACCTTTCTGGTCTACAGGCTATGATTACATGTATTCCCACACTAATCACTCAATCAATGTTATATCCCCTATACTAGTCGTATCCCCTATGCTACTAAAACCTCTGCGGGAAAACTCTTCAAAATGCTTATACAAATCCCAAAACGGCTAGTTTACAAGGCGAGGAGCCAGGTTACATCGAACGCCTCTTTGTTTACTTGTACAGCGCGCTCAGCCGGCTACAGAGAGTTTAAGGCTGCGTTCGGATCACGTGGCAGCCGCTTAAAATTACAGGGGAGTGTGTGGTATTGACTGCGGCCCGTTTCCATAGAGTTGTGCGTAATTTCAAGCCACAGACAAGTGAATTGGACATGACCTAACTGCAATTTCTTGTCGAGCTCCTCCTTCTTCACACGGCATCAACTTTCGTCAAAAGAGGGCGCCACACCAAGTTAACGAAGCCCTTGTACAGGGGTAGCCGACCATTAAAAGAAAAGGCAATTGTGACCAATGCCCAAAATTAAAAATGAAGAAGAAAATCAGAAAAAGTATTTATAACTGTCCTATCTTACAGACAGACATCAAACAAAAGCTTGATTCAATCATACTTCACCTGCTGTTCAAAGATGATCCCCGTAAAATAATCACCAAAGGCCCACGATCAAGCATGTTTATTTGTACAATGCAAAATTATTCAGGAAGCTATGGGTGCTGTTACATTCGACACTCATTGCGTATAGTGTAATTCGACAACCAGAATAAGTAGCGACTACTGCAGTGGCACAACGCTCATGGACAGGTGGTACGCGCGCGTTACATGCCTCTTCGACCAATAGGGTGTTGTGATTTGCCCGAATGCACGCGCGCGTCAAACTGAAGAATGTGCGTGTGAGTGAGGTGCTACCACAGTTAAGAAAAAGAGAAACTGGTCGCCGAATTCAAAATATTCTCATGAGGAGACAGATGGAATGCTCGCTTGTATTCCGTGAGGCAAGATGCCGAGTGGAATGGAACATATTCCAGCAGTCAGTCAATCACTTCATGAAATTATACTTTCCACTGCACTTTGACCATGAAATGAGACCTCTACCGTGGCACATAACTTGCCGTGTGTTTGGAAGAATTAGAATCATTTCATTATGACTGACGACCAGGTTCTGAGACTTGTGTACAAAACTACCAAAAATTTGGTTCTAATTTGTTTTTGGTTTACCTTGTTAAAGAAACTAATTTCACGTTACTAGTTCTTAATGCCACTATCTATCCATCTGGGGGGTTTGAGAATTTAAGAATGAACCATGGACTGCAAAATTAAGGAAAATAATTGAGAGACAAAGTTACTTTTGTAGAAGTAATTAATCCGTTCTCGAGTTGTAAAGTGCACGCACGAACAAGAATGCGAACTGTGTGCACGCACTACACGTGCGCAATTTCCATTGAAGGTCTGTCGCGCGCCTGCTACACAGAGGCCGTGACTGGTGCCCGGCTTTAACCCGCCTGTCGAAATAAAAAAAATTCAGTTCCATTTTTGTCGGATCGGGGGCTTCAGACTGACGAGTAACCCCCTCTTGGTTACCCCTAAATGTTCATTTTTTTCTGCTTTATATTTCGGTTTGTAAACATAAATTTGCGACAAGACCTGCTATTTCATAAGAATAACCTCTGTCAGCTGGCTTTATTAAAGGGTTCTTGTATGGGCATAAGTTCATCTCTTTTGGAAGTGTTTACCATACAAATTTAATTCGATCGTAGAGTTTTATTGGTTAAAGATGTATAAATAAACAATATTGTACAGATCTGATTTTTATTGAAATGAAACAGTAACTTTTTTGATAATTGAGGAATAAAAAAGAGGATTACACTGCGGGCATGATGATCCTGATGAACAGGCGTAAGCGAAGCTATAAACTGATCAGGAACACAGTATGCCGAGGCAGTGCTGGTGCGCGCACGTGCGGTAAGTGGCGATTACGCACAAAATTGTGCTGTTGATCGGCCTTTCCTTTTCCATTCGTAAACCAAACATATAATAAGCAGACTGAATTGGTATTGGCAGTTACGACTTGGATTTTAAAGCAATGGACAGATAGCTAGACTGTGTCAAAGTTTTAAAAAATCTCCTAATTCATACGTTTTTTTGGGGGGGTTGGGAGATGCTCTCCTAAAACCCTCAGCCTCACGTAGGCCTACATCAAACAGCTGGAAACTTAAGTTCATGTGTACTATGTACATGTTTGGAGTCCTTTGTAATCATAAGTGCCTTCCGATATTCTTGTCAATGTTTTGTCAACAATTTTTGTCAGTGTGCTTAAAATTCATTGGCTTATTTTGGGAGGTTGAAGTTTATGGTAATGCTGGAGCTCTGTGTGGTTATGGGGCGATGGATCCCAACAATGTGCAATTTCAAAATACTCAATAATCTCAAAATAAGTGAGTTCTCGTTTTTAAATTCAGGCCCAAGAGATCATGATTGTTAATCGCCGTTATTGACTTTCATATCAGTCGATTTTTTTAAATACTTATTTGTGCCAGCGCGTTCTCAAAAAGTTCTCCATCTCTAACAAAAATGTATTTGGTACAACTTTTAAAATGGGACAAATCAAGAGATATGAGTAAATTGCTAGCAACAGAAATTTGCCAAAGCTTTGCTGGATAGTACCATCTCCCCTCGACACGGAACTGCCAGGAGTCCCTTAACTGCTATCAAATTTTGTGGACACCTGTTGTCTGTCTAGTTTAAGTCCACCTGTTGACACATAATACATGCTAGAAAATGGCTAAGATTTGTACAAATCCTGAATTTTAATTATATAATTATCCCTTACTGGCCGTAGTAGACTCAGCTTGCGTGCAGGTTACTAGACCAACTGTCACCAACGCACGCCACTGCCTCGCCCCCGGCCCGATGATGTGTGTACTCTGTATGGAGATCAATGGTACTAGCGGCTGATAACTACGTTGTTCGTGCTTGATTTCATAGATTCGGCGTAGACTTCGGTTTCGCTGGTTCCAGTCTAGTCAGAGCTTAAACATGTGATTATCGATGTGCGTGTACCCAGCTCGGAATCTCGTACGCTGAATAGATTCGCGCGCACACTGTACGAATTGCATTGGAGAACGCGGTTGAATGAATGGCAATAATTAACGTTACTTCATAGTACATTTTCCTGTTTTTGTCTTTTGTGGTGATATGTCGAATTTCTTAACCCACCAGCTGTGGAGAAAAGGAGGTATAGCAGTTACAGGCGTGAAATTGGCTCTTTGAAAAAGGTAGAAGTGTTGAAAAGTTTAGTTATAAAATTTTTCGCCCGATTTTTGGCCCGGTATATTCTGGACTAGACTTCCTCCGTAACGTAGTACGGTCAGGGATTCCACCTGGGCCAGATGACGGGGAAGTTCAGGTATTGCATAAAATTAATGGTCTGTTTTCATTTTATAAGCAGGTGCCCGGTGTTGTCCCTCTGACTTCGATAAAGCTCCGAGCAAGAACGGTTGGGAGAGAACAGTTAGTACCATAGTGGTATTTGTTCGAACTAAAACATCTCTTCCACTAGTAAGGGCTATTCTCTTCCACGAAATTTTGTACAGGATGCTTGGGTAACGCAAAGCATTGTGGGGAGCTCGGGCACTGTGTGAAAGTGACGACACAACCACTATTACAAACTTGACGCCGATAACGCCTTCGATACTCTTGAGTACGCTTTTTTGTTTCTTTATATTTTAATTGATTAGATGAATTTCGTTTAAGCTTCGCCTTGAATTTTATTCAGTAATCATTAAATACTGTACAAAGGGTTGGGAATGAAATTAACAATGGTAGTACCGTGACATACTAAATAACCGTGTAAAAGACTTACTACTGGAAAGGAGGCTATTTGGTCAAATTGAGGAGGAAAGGGATTATAGGACAAACATGCCAACTGAAAAGAATTGGTTGATGCATTTATGAAGACAGTTATCAAGATTTTTTCTTTACTTTTAATGAAATATCTCATCCTTTCCAACTACACGCATTACAACTTCGGACAAGCTCAAATAATTTAGTAGCGATACCGGAGACACGTCGACAGACGGCTGTCGAAACCAAGCCAATTCATTGTGACTTCATTCCGTGATTTCATGTGGCGAGTAATGATGTTTTAAAAAATCCCCATCTTACATCTACATGCTATGTTGACTTACCGGTAGTTTTTCCGAAATAACACTACCTTCTACGTTTACGTATACCCCAAAAGGCCGTCCGTCGTCATCATTACTTATAAACATCACACAATGGTCTTTACGAACGTTAATACAGAACAGCCTTTCATTTACTTTTACCAGACGACAAATGACGCTTCGTAAAACGTACAGGCACACAAGCAGGTGTACAACTTCTAATCTCTTCATACTTGGGTGTTTTAAAGCACAGTTTTTCGTACATGACTTTTTCCAGGCTTATACAAATACTCAAAGGGGCAAAAGACGGATACAATTTCTGTGGCGTCAGAGAAGCACTGCAATATTTTCCTAACGTAGGCGTTATGACTGAAGGCTTTTGGTCTTTCTACAGTCCAGTATATTTCATTGTGAATTATAGATAGAAGACAGAATGAGGAAAATCATTAGTAAAATAATACGATTCATTTCAATTGGTTAAGTCTGGCTAAAGTCTATCTTACAGGCGTAATATTTTGCAACAATACAAACTAGTACAGCCCACAGAGTTAAAAGAGATCACGCGACACCACCCCCTTCCTGTACAATACATCTATTTACATCATCTCATCAAGTCTTCCTGTGCTCACATTGGAAGCACAGGGTTTTTCCCTTGAGAAAAGAAATCAGATATCAATTTTTACAATTTCAGCGGCTGCGGTGAAGTAAATATTTGTGTGTTTCGTCAAGCTGCTGCACGGACCTCCGACATTTCGCTCAGGAAAAAATGTCAAAATTATTCCAACTAACGTCCAGCAATGACGACTCCGACCACTTGAATGGAGTATATTTACTAACAATTATAAACTAAGTCCGGAAATTGGACTTGACACTGACACCACGGCCGTTTGACCATACTTGGTAATATTTTAAAATAAAAGCACCATTTTATTTGATTGTACATGTAATACTCACGGGTAATTAACACATTCAGACAATATTAATTTGTGAAGTTACTGTGACATTATACACCATTGAAGAATTTTTTGTCTCAAAGGGAAAGAACTTGACATTATGAAGCGAGGTATTTTCATTTTCATATATAACTTCAGTCTTAGCTCTCAGGGAAAAAACCAGCAAGTTTTTTTTCTTAGTGAAAAATGAATGTGACCTGTAACAACAGAAGCAGAGCAGTTATTTCTGAATGTTGGTGTCAGATTTAGTGGGACATCCCGGGGAAAAGAGAACAAAAAATAAAACAAAATAAAACCGCACTCTTTGACCACAATGCGTATGTCTCGGCACAAGAAATAAAGTGGGTATTGGCAACGTGCTCCTCCCACCCCTCACAAAATTCTACGGAGGAAATACGTCACAGCTACCGGAGCGCAAAGCACTGTGGGTTACTGCTATCATAATCCAATGCATGTCCATGAGTGTGCAAGACTTACTGATAAAGGAAAGCAATGAATTACCGTACAACTGCAATTGCTGAATTTAGCAGCTCGATACAATTGGCCCAGCACGGCAAACAAATTAAAATTTCATGAAACACTACTGGTACTTCCCAGATACAGCACAGTTTTACTATTCATACAAAACTTGCCACTCGGGCACCCAATAACATTAAAATACTGACTCACTATATCAGATTTCTGGCGACTGGATGTCAGCTTTTCTACAAGCAAGTATCTCATCATTTAATGATAACAAAAAGGCCATAAATTCGATGACATTTCAGCGATAGCCTAACCCGCACATGGTGTGAATGTCGATCCGAAAAAATTCCGGGAACCATCTTCCACTTCAACTGCACACCTAAATCCGATGATGGAATTTGGCACAGCTCGGCAAGTAAGAAACCGACAAAAAATATTTTGATTACTCTTATCCAAGGTGTCATCTGAAGGTCAATTTTGACCAATATCTCCAAGCCCACGCTCATTAGAAAAACATTCTCTACCATGTCGAGACTATACACAGTTACTTGCAGTAAAGAAGGGAAAAATGAACAAAAAAGGAAAATTTTGAACCAAAAATACAAATATATAAAAACAATAACTAATGAATACAATGTAGACATTCAGTGACGCTCAGATCATTATAAACATTTTCTTACACGTACCAAAATAACAAATTTTCCATATTCACTGAAGTATCTTTACCAGAGTTGTGCTGTGAATTATTGATCTTGTGTAGTTCAGGTCCACATCCAAGTATTTTTAGTACACGCTATTTCTCCACGTGAAAATTAGAAAAAAAAATCACAAAAATAAATTAATAAATGGAGATTATACAATATACCTTCAGCAGGTGAAAAGAGAGTACAGGTTGGTTGTTAATTATATGAGAAGCATTTTAATCATCGATTTAAATATTTGATAAATTGAACAGGTTCCTCATTATAAATACAATTTCTTTTGTACAATTTTTTTTGGATGACAAAGTCAGTCAAAAATACAACCAAAGCCTGACAACAGGACAGAGAGATGCCGATTTAGTGAAAGTTGTTTATATTTTGTAACAGTAAGAGGAATTTACGTCCACATTTGGGTAAAACACGGAACCACTGGGTATTCATTATATTATCACAATGATGGTAATTACTAATAGACAGTCAATAATATAATGTTCTCATTCCAATTTGGTGTAATGTAAAAAGGATTGTTTCTCCATACATTCGTTTGTAAATTTTTGACAGTTAGGTAATTTCACCTGTCAAAACCATGACCTGAATTGTCAAATATCATTTATGTTGTTTTCCACCAACATTCAATACTGTCATTTCCCTGTCTCGGGGTAGTCTAAAAAAGAAACAGATTCATCAAATCTGTAAGATGATGTGAAAGTGTCCAAGCTATCAGACACAACAGCATTAAGGTTTGTGTCAGTAAGTCAATTTGAAAAAAAAAATCATTTCAATTCTACAGTGCTTAGCCAAAGCTATGGAATCAGCCTAGGCCAAACTGTTCAACTCGAGTGGGCTGATTCCGCGCACTGGTCAGAGTGTTGAGAGAAATACGGCGATTATATTCATTTAAGGTCAGACCGGGTCTTCAATATGTATCATACATCATATACATGGTTGACAAACAGCACCGTTGACTTATAAGTAACTTATATGTGACAAGGCTGCTTGGGAGAGGTGACTTGGGTTCAAGTGACTGGCAGCTCGCCCATGTTGTTCTTGTTCCTGGCACAAATGCTTGGGAACCGGTGACTGTATGGTTCCAACTGAACCTGTCCGTTGGGTGCCTCGTTGTCCTTGGATTGACAGAGGGCGGTCTACACGGTGAGTGGACCGAGCTCACATCCACAGAGATCACTGAGGCTCCTCGCATCAAAAGCACCCTCCTAAGTGCACCAGAGTCACTCAAGTTGAACTTTCCACGACCCTTTGACATGCTCTGACTGCGATAGTGGAATCCTTGATGGAAGCCAGTGATCTATCGTGCCACTGTGACACTCCCGGAGTAATTTAACAACCAACAAAAAATCTCTTTTCTTGTTGCATTTATTATTATACAATGAACCCACTCTGATCTCGTGAGATCAAGGTAATTCTTACAAGCCAAGTTCCAGGCAGACTGGAGCCTCTCTCATGAACCAAACTTGACGATGCTGGGGGCTCAGCCCCTTGCCTCCTGTTGCTAGTGCAATCACCTGACGGTGGTATACTTCCACAAATCTCACACCCCTCCTGGGTGCAACGGGGAATGTAATTGAACGAGGATTTCATTGGAATAACACTGACCTTAACAGCAATTATCACAAGAGTCTTCTTTCTTTTGTCCAAATTTAGTTCTTATGTACAAATATTTACAAAGGATTTCGTTTTCCCTTTTATCTCTCAATAGCAAGAGTTTCTTTACTCTCAGATATAGACTGGCTGCTCCTGTCCTGTAAGTAGCTTGTACATTGAGAGTGGCATTGTCTTCATACGAATCTGCAAAGGAAAAAAAGAATTGTCACTTTTCTTTCCAAGGACTTGCACAAAGCTGAATAAAAGAATAAAGGAGTTTCTTCTCCACTTTCCTTTTCCTGAAGCTACTTTGCTGTTGTTGTTTAAAGGTTTCTTGGGGTTCGGTCTGCAACATATTTTGCAATTTTTTTTCTCATAAAATATTTAGCTATACACGCCAATTTAAAGCTCAGAAAACAAAACAAGTCCCCAAAGAAGGCCCTATCTGCTAAACTGAGTTGAAAATCCACCCTCCAAATCAGAGAATAATTATGCCATCTTTGAAAAAGGGGGGGGGGAACTGCCTCAACGGGTGAGCAGAGTTTTGAGACACTTCTTTTCTAACCTCCCAAAGATGTCTCAAGAATTCTCACAAAATACCTAATCCTGTCTAGGCCAGACAAACTGGGCATTTTTGCGAGGCCTCTTAGTTAATCCTCCTCGGGGTAAGGCAATGATGACACAGTCTCTGCACTGAAACTTTCAAGGGAAGTCAGGTTCCACACCTGCCCACGTGTTTCAGAGGGAAATTATTAACTGCGTATGTCCCATTTTAGGGTCACTTGCATACGTAATGAGGGTCATGTGAATTCGTGCCAGGCAAGCAGCTGTTTCATTTCATGAAATTTACATTTTTTTTTTCAGTTTCAGGAAATAAAAATTCCTTTGCTGACGGTTTTCTTCTAGACTTTGTCTCTTCCCGACCGAATGCGTTTGCATATTGACCTCATGCATGGCTGATTCCGTTCATCCCACATAATCTTAAGGCCTTGCAAATGTAAGAATTCAGTGACTCGGGAACGAAAGACAAACACAAAAGTACCGTAAGTTAACATGAAGTTTATTATTGAAACCAAGGTCTATCTGTCATTATGACATTGCCAGGAAATGTTGAAATTCACGGTATATATCCCCAGTTTTACATGTACTTTACATGCGTGAACCACCCGAACCGGCTCCGACGAGAATTTCCATATACACGTGCATGCACATATATGCTGCGGTAAGCTTGTAACAGGCTGCAGCGTACCATGCATGGTACGTGGCTGGGTCGGTTTTGTGCAGGTAAAACACATATTTTGCACAACGTGGAAGTATCAAAACTCATGAAAGTCAAACAAAAAAAAACCAACTAGATAGAACTGATTATATTGTGCAGTTAAGATGCTGGCCTATACAGTGTCTTACTGTTCTGGGAAAACTTCTAAAATTGAGAAATTTAGTAGAAAAAAAGACCAAGAGATCAACTGAAAATGGGAACAGTTTATCATCTTAGCAACCACTTGAGGCTAAATTTCATATTTATGTAGCATTTCTTTTCATGATTTTGTAGCGTTTTAATTGGTTTGAGTATTCTAGAGCACATACAAAGAGTTTCAAAGAGATTGTTTGTTAATTTTGTGCAAATGAAGTCTTCAAAATGAGAAGACTCAACAGAGGATTGGCAAGTTGCTAAGGGCAATTCCATGTGGTTTATAAGGGTCTGGTCAAGTAATTGCCGCACACAGTCAAAGTAGTTAATTTCCAAATATTGAATGGGAGTGAAACATACATGTGCTTTCCTCAATCCTACAAAATCTTCCCAAACCAAAGAGTAGACTTTTAAGCATCTTGGTGGAATAGGGAACGCAGAGGATTGCAAGGCCAATAAGTCAGTTACATATGCCTTTCCCCACTCCATGTACTGCAGTGTTTTATTCACGCCTTCTCCAAGTCCAACAGGAAATTTGTTTTCTTTTTTTAATGTTTTCACCTGCAGTTTATCAGCCTATTTTAATCAATTACCGCACATTACCTTGTGTCGCCTCTTTATGAATACATTTATTTGTCCAAGTATATTTATCAGCTCATATTGTACTGGTCATTCATTGCTTTAGCCCGTGTTCCTCCGTCTTGCCTCTATGCTTTTTAGAGGCCATTTTGTTTCAATGTTTTAAAGGTTTTTAAGTCTTAACCTTTGTTTTAGATATTTTATATTCAATATTCATATTCTGATTTTTGGTTTATTCATTACATTTAATCTTAACTACTCGATAACTCTCAGATTAAATTAATCCCCTTAATTATGATTTAAAGCTCCCATGGAAACCAGTTTTATAACTGATAACACCACCATGTATAAATAAAATAGTAAATAAATAAATAAGTTAATGAATGGTACTGAGTGGTACACAGGAACTACACATGTTGTAATTACACAAAACTGACATAGGTCACAAGGCCACAGTGGCCACAGTATTTTGAAATGTTGTGCCTTGTGGAGACCCAGGAGAATGGGTTGACTAGGTCTCCACAAGAAATTTCTAAAGGTGTATGGGTCTCCACAAGGATTTCACAAAACTGATATTTGGAAATCGCTCAAAAAGGAGAAATTTTTCATGTGTAAGAATCTGTTACAAATTGAAGAGTTGAAGAATTGAAGAAGGCAAAGAATTTGAAAAATCAAACAAACAAACAAACAAAACAAACAAACAAACAAACAAACAAACACCCCAACAACCCCAACAAACAAACAACCAAACAAACAAACAAACAAAAGACTTCTCCATGACTCTGATACAGTTAAACATTCTACCATAATCCTTCAAAGCGCTCTGCTAAGACAGCTTAGCACTGGTGATACATTGTGACCAAAAAAACCCCTTGTCTTTCATTATATTTGGGAACCCGGGAAAGCACTTAACCGTTTCATACTAATCACACACAGACAAAATAACATCTAATTTCCACAATGTCCCCCCAAAGCAGAACTGTGCAACAAATTCTGTCAATGACTAACTAAGGGATGTCTGCCGTTCAACCTGGAGTAACCCCTTGATTTTTTTTTTTGAACCAACTGATTCTGCCTGAGAGTGGGCTGGAACCGGACTGTCCCTAGGCTAGCACATCAGTCCACATTTGACAGGGTCTGTGTGACAAGATCCTGCAGTATGACTGCACTGGAGCTCCCCCCCATTCATTAACCTTTGTCCATCGTCGTCTTGATAGTGTGTTAAAATCAGACATGTTTTCCATTCAGGCATGACCACCTGCCGTAGGAAGACTGACGGCATGAAATAAACCACCCACCTTATATTTAGACATTAGAAGCAGAAAGAAATAATTTTCAGCTTTTTTTTGTCTTTTCAAAGGCACTGAAGTTCACACGTCCAGTGTTACAGTTTTGAAGATCTTTTCTAGCAGCACCAATGGTGAATTGTGAGGCACACACTCTCCCCCTTCCCAAGACAAATTTCTTTATTACTAGAAAGTACTACAAAAGTTCAGCATCTTCCAAAGCCTAGTAGCCAAAGTGTACATGGTTTTGAATTGTCTTAAAACTTTTCCACTTTGCATCGAAAAGCTGAAAGTAAAGTGTCCTCAGAAATGATAACTTGCAAAATTTGAATGCAAACACTCTCAAGAAAACGGATTATGAAAATTTGAATTCCAATTTATAATCTTGTTTGAAAAAAGGCACAAAACAGTGATATAAATGAAGTAGAAATCAGGGATTCACCTCTCCAACAGACGTGGACAACATCTCTACAATCTTCTCGTGCGCCGTGGCTACGACGCTGGCCCCATTGATCTCGATGATGCGGTGACCCACCCGCACTCCTCCCCTCTCGGCGATACCTCCTCGCATTAAACTGCATATCTAAATGAGAGAAAGCAGCTTGGGTTACAAGGATAACTGTAAAAATAGAAATACAATTCGAGATTATATTACAATGGGCATGTTTATCGCCAGGAATATCGTAGGGAAAGGAAGCACTTATCAGTAGCTAAGTGACAAACCATCAATAGTGGAACAGGTTTAATTTCAAGGCGCTTTCAAGCAAATCGCTGATTTTTATCCCCTTTCCTTATTTTCTTTTGCTACTTTACTTTTTTTTTCCTTCTTCCCCTTTCATTGTTTTCCCAGGGGGTGGGGGGT